CAGTTCAGTCGGCCAAGAAAAAATTAGCGTGCAAGTAAGCAGTCCCACCCGACAGCCCCGGGAACCCGGGGAGAGCTTGCTTGCAGGCTACCAAGAGATTAAATACCGGGGATTATCTAAATGGAATTTCGAATACTTTAATTCAGATGATATAAGACGGTCCACATCGGAGGCTCTGAATCTTGGTTATAAGTTAGATTTTGGGCGTTTTCTCGGCCAACCATTTATTATAAACTTTCACCCCACATGACCAGCTATGAATTCTTGAGATGTCAGCTCTCTTCTTACGGTTCAGTAAACTCGACATTTCTCACCTGATTTTTTGGCCAGTACTCGGCTTTCCCTTAATTAAACCCAGTCCAGAGCACCTGTTCTGCAGACATTTTGCTTGGATTGTCAGATTATTGGTACGGGGCCAGTCAGGGGTTTACATTAGAGTTCATGAATATTTCATGCATGTATGCTGCGTTATCTGTAATTTTACATCTAATACCTTTTTTTCTGCAAGTCTCACAAGCAAAATATTGAAGAATTAAGCGAAAAAGTTCCGTTACAACATAAAAACCTTCAAAAGAAGTACATGTAAGACAATTTTATGATACTCTGGGCACACATACGTATTGATAGAAGGCCTGGCAAGAAGCATGTGCAATCTTTCCAAGGGTAGCCCCCGACATAAAATGCATGACACCTGGGGGAGGGGGGGGGGGAGTACTCAACAAAGTACTATACGCGGAGGCTCCGCCCCGAGGCCCAACCCCTTACCCTTTTATATACCATTTTTCACGAAAAAGGTATCCATTTCGTATACCCTCTATTGACAAATGGTACCCTTTTCACATACCCCTACAATAGTTTAGAATTTTGCTTTCCTGAAAATGTAACGTCTTTAAAATATGAATGAATCACAAAACCAGAATGTTTTCTCGACTTTTTCACAGCCATAAAATGTATCTGTTTGATAGCCCTTTTGGGCCTTTTTCCACCTGAATGACAGATTTCCCTTCTTGTACTTCAACAAGTAAAATCGCTACCCTTTCATATACCTGAAGCCTGAAATTGGTACCCCTTTCCGGCTGTATTGGATACTACAGGGACTACCCCCCCTCCCCGGTAAAATGCATGACACACTGATGAGATTGTTTAGCTTGCAGCTCGACACATTCAAGTAGGGGTGGCGAATGGTACCTCGAAAGACGTAGGTCTCGGAAAATTTTAACAGGATCTCGAAATCTCGGAAGCGTTTTTGATAAGTCTCGAAGTCTCGTTTTTGCATGGTTTGTTTTTACTTTTTTTGAGTTTCGAAACTTTTTACCAAAGAGTCTCGGGCTCGGATTTCTAACTAGGGTCTCGGCGTCTCGGCGAGTCTCGGATTTTACCATTCGCCACCCCTTCAAGTCAGTTTTTCACCTCCGCCCAAGCCGCGGGTGCAAGCTAGTTTGATTTGAGAGTGAGATTGGCGGTTGAACAAACTCCATTCACATAAAGACCTCTGAATTAATTTTGACGCCAAGAAAGGTTTCATCGGCTCATCTTAGTTCTTTAGAACCTCTTTCTCTAGAACTTAAAGCTTGGCGTCAATGCTGCGGAGAGAGCGTTTTCCTTTCATGGCAAGGTAACAGTCTAGAGAAAAAAAAATTTTTAAGTTTTTGCCGCAGCAAATACAAATTTCAAATCGATGCCAAAGAAATGACAAACCGGGAAACATATGTTTGAAGAACTAAATAAAAGTTAAGTCATAAAAGAAGATAAAGAAAATGAATAATATATTTCTAAGTTAGACTTTTATTAAATATAGCCTTCAGTCAGTTTAGTTCATGGTTTTATTTTTCAATTGCTATTAAAGATAACATATCTGAAAAGATTCTGCTAAAGCCATGTTTGAGAAAATTTGATGTAATTTTTGGTGTTTAAGTTGCTTAAGCAATGTTACATGATTTTTCTGTTATTTTTTTTATTTGAATCTGTCCAGTCCTCAATTTAATAGAAAGGAATAACACTAACTCCCTTAATCCAACTCTCTCTCAGTTATTCTAGTTTGAAAAGTAAAAAACGAACGTAGATGATTAATCAAGAAGTCAGACACACACTGAATTTTAAATTCGCTTTCCATCTAATATATTTTCGTTATCAGTAGATTTTTTTCTGTGTATTGATTGAGTGATAACACCTTGATTAATAGTTTTCGCTGATAGGAAAAGCTTTAAAAAAAGCCATCGGAAGTATTTTTTCTCACATCGGTCCATCTTTGCGGAAAACTACATGAACTCGTTAAGAGCGAGGCGCTAAAAGGCGCTAAAAGGCTTTTTAGTGTTACGAAATTGAAGGAAAAGCGGCAAGAAAAGAAAACATTTTAATTCTCGTCCTACGTTTTTTCGTATAATTAGAGAAATTCTGGTAAGAAAAACAATTTTGAGAATCACCTTGAAAAGCAAACAGAACTCACACAGAATAATTAAAAACTCATTTGGCTTGAAGTTTGTGTTTGCGAAATTTGGTCTCCAAGCACAGGTGTAGGAAATAGCTATTTCAGTTTTATCTTGATGAAGATAACATGAATCATGCGAATCTTCTGCATATCGGCAAGAGAAATCTCACTTTATTAACTGCATGCGTATTGGTGCGTTTCTTGCGTGCGTTGTTGACAAAGTGACATACTAGTTTCAATTCAGTTGCGATGGCGAACGTGATAAGCTTGTAGTTTACGGGCAGTGGCCAAAATTGAAGCGGTTCCGCACTGGCATTTTGAACCTTCTGTAACCGCTTGGAAAGTTTTTTAATATTCAGGAGATGAAAGTCTAGACTTGAATGAGCTACGAAATGAGAGCTCTTTTTTATCTATGCGTCTTGTGTCATTTACTAAAAATACTACACAATCTTTTGTTTTTCATCGTGAGTTTTACGAGGAAAAACACCAAGTCAAAAAAAAAAATGACTATTTACAGTAAAATGAGCAGGGAAATAAATTTATGATCATGATATGCCTTAATTCTATCTCTATGATACATGATTAAAATGTTCTTAAGTTAAACTTTTGCTTGAATCTTGATCAATCTAATCGTTTTATCGCGTGTAGGTGAACATTTTTGTATATTTGTCAGCTAAAAAATAGAATTATACTGCTACATGTAGGTCATATCGCTAAGATAACCGAAATATGACTCTGTCAAGTCGTCGTATTGTAGCTGCTGATTTGTCTGTTTCTTCAAAACCTACTAAAAAGCGTAATCGAGAGCTAAAACATTGCCACACGACACGCTGTTTTCTGTGTCTTTACATTAATTCTTAGATAGAATTGTAGAATTTTATAAGTGCCCATCTTTTTCCTCGCCAGCGAAGACAGAATTACGTTAGCGCTTTGGAACGAGACGTCTGCCAAGGGTTCATTCTCTTATCACTATGAACATAAAAAGTTTCGATAGTGTAAATAACATTTAAACTGGATTTTTACCTTTTATAAAACGCGAACCGCTTCTTTTATTGGAGAAAATTCCGTGATTGGGTAAATGATGGGCGAACAACACGTCTTAAATATTGGCCAAATTCATACGAGTGGTGTCCCTGATCTAATCATCTTTTAAACAACGGCAGCATGGCAGTAGGTCTTTCTGCAGTCATGTTCGCCTCTTGAGGTGTTCAAGCCACTCTACAGAAGTAACCTTCAAGCTAGATTTCTTAAAATTACAAAACATGGCTCAAAGGACAACGTATATTTTTCTACGGTTTTCAATTATTTATTTAGCCCCAGCGATGCGCGAGGACGACAGGGAAATATTCTACCCGCTTAAATCAATGAAATCACTTGTTACAGTAATGGTGAGATCTATCCAAGCACCCTAAAAACCAGAAACTAACCCGTGCTGTTTGACAGAAAATGACAGCCTCAGTATATATATTTTTTGGTTCTCGTTTCGGCTGGCGGCAAAGAAAGGGACTCGTGGGATGTAGACCGCCGGATCCTCCACTTCAATTGTCGACTAGTTGTCTGAAGGTTGCCCCAGAGTTTGCCCTTTGCAGAAGTAAGGTTTAAAATTTGTGTTCTATGCACGTAACAGGGCATATGTTTTTCAAACCTCAGATCTAACTGTGTCGCGTAGGGAATTGCAGGCAAAAGTGTGTTTAAAAACACACGAAATATAGTTTTTCTGTTCGCGTTCTTTATTACGAAAAGCATTTTGAAAACTGGTGAAACTTTCTCAATCGCTTTTTGTGTAAAAACGAAAAACAGGCGGCGAAAATGCAAGCACGGAAATTCATCATTCAGTCTTGAAACAAAAAACCTAAAAATAATAATAAATTCAATGCCCAGTGCTGGTTTCAGCCAACATAACATCGCGCAGCCAAACTCATGTGCCATAGTCAAATTACAACATCTGATTATTTTGGTTTTCCTAGTAAAACATGATATTTCTGTTTCTGAAGTCCAGCGCTGTACAGCAGTTAAAAGTATAATTTAATTCCATTTAAACGATAATTAGAGAGAAGATAATTATACGTACACTTCAAATCAACAAGGAAAAATATCGTGAAATGCGGAAAAAGTAAAGTTGAATTGATTCGAAAACTGCGAGACGTCAAATAGATTCCCAGTCGTTTAGCGAGAAACGTCATTTTTTTTTACAGACAAAAAATAAACGTAAAAAACGTACCTAGAGGAGGTAATTTTAGGACTCCAGACTTGAAGGCAATAATTAAAATATTAGGGCTAATTTGTACGAAAGTCCGTCCTTTGTTTTCGTGGCTGTTAACAGCATAAATGGACTGACAAATATATTTCGAAAAACTGCTTATCTGCAGCAAAATATCAACGAAGAATAGAAGATAAGGCCGGCCTTTCGCTTTTTTACGAAATAAAATCTGTAAGAAATATTTCCTGCGTTTAAGATCTACCAATTCCACAGAATCAGCGAATCGCTAAACAGAGTATTTAGGATATAGACCAAACAAGTAGCCAGTATTTTACAGTCAATATGACCTTTATTTATTACTTTTTTTTGTTTCAACGTTCATATACTTATTATATTCTATATAACGTAATACTATTCTTGGGTTTCAAAAGAAAGCGACGAAAATACAAGTTAACGTGGAGAATGGATAAGACGAAAGGAGCAAACTATTATTGGGCACATAATGATAGAATTACGAGCCAAAAAGATAGAATCAGGCTAGATACTAACCAGAGCGAGCCTAGAGGAGAAGTGATGGCGCTTTCTGTATGAATAGATTCAGTATATCCTCAAGTTTTAATATTTACAGCATATATTCTCTCTTTCGACCGATACGGTCTCCTATCTCTGGTTTGCCATGAGACAAGAAGCGATATAAGAGTACACGATAAAGCTTTTAATTACATACAAATATTACATGAAATCAAATATGAGGCCTATTTTATCTTCTACCAGGCAAGCAGGGCGGCTTTATCTGCAGAAAAGTTCAATTCTGCAACGCGCAGACCTAATCTTATCATGGGTTTGTACAATATTTAAACTGTCCAAAACTGTTAAAAGAACAACAACATGAAATCTCTTGCAATTGCACACAACAAAATCGCCTTGCTTGCTATGAGTCACAGTTCCTTTACTTTCAGCGCTTTTCGACAACCGCGAGACGGATCGAGGAAAAGTAAATACTTAAGGGGAAAATTAAGGTACGAGCACGTATTAACAATATTTTCTTTCCCTTTTCGTTTTGTTTAGTGTTCATATACAGGAACAGTTTTTAGGTGTCGCAATATTGAGCGACACGAAGTGAAGAGGTATGCTTTTCTCGCGAACTTTCTCGTTCAACAAGGTTCGCTGGTCGTTCCTCTGTGACTTAGGCTCGTTTCAGTACTTGCATTTCTGTCGCAAAGTTCTCTTTCTTTCATGTCTTTCTAGTTCTTTACGAAGCGTTTATCGAGACCGAAGGCGGCGCAGGTAGATAACTCGACGGGTTCGGTGGAGTCGAAGAAATAAGCGGGCCATATAGACCGGGGTGTAAGCCGGGAATACCACTCATAGAGGGCCTTGAAAACGCAGTCGGTGTGTGAATTGTTGGACTTAAAACGGGGCTGATCATGCTCGATACTACATTTCCTTGGCTCAAACTAGGCATTGAGTCACGACTGCTCAGAAGCTTGTCTTCGCCTCCGTGTTTTTGTTCCTGCTTAACGCCTTTGGACTTGTTCTTGTTCTTTGACGAGACTTTTCTGTTCCTTGTTTGAATACCGTCTTTCTTCATTGAGAGCGGGCGGTTAACCTTAAGGAATTGAAAAGAAAGAATCAGCGACTGCCATAGGCAACAACAAAACCTCATTAAGACGAATATGAATGTTTTAATCCCTTGCGTTAACTAGGAAATCTGTGCGTTTTGTTTCGGCTGACGTTCAATGATAAATTGTGTTTTTCGTGTGCCGCTTGTTTCCCGGTCATGCATGGATAGAAATCTACGAAACTTTTAAAAGTCAGTGGAAAAGTGAAATTCGAGGAGACAATTCAAAAGCACACACTGGCATGTTAGAGTTTTTACTTTTCTGAAGTGAAAATCTCGAGAAAAAATGAGCAAAACGAGAGAAAAGTTGTCATTTCGTGACTTACAGAAGCTAATAAGTACACTCTCCATTTTTCCATTAGCAGCGGAAATTGGATTATGATGTGAAGTGACGCGAGGATGAAAAAAAAAAAAAAAAAAAAAATCTCAAAATCTAAGCATAATGATCTATTTCCATCGCCCGTTATTGATAAAGAAAAAAATCTGCTTTCCTTCTAGACCATTGAACTAAACTACTAAATCATTTTAAAAGAGAAAAAAAATAGTTTAAACACCCTTTAGTATCAAAAGCCATTCCCCTCTTGCAGCGATCTATTGTTCTAGAATGTGCACTTCATGAATTTACAAAATCAAATCGGCTGTAATTGCATTCCCAAAAATTAAACGATCTTGAGGAAAATTTGCCGAACGGAATAGGCTGGAGTTGATTTCGTTTCGTAGCAACCGGTTGTAATTCGCTGAATTTCTTTCTTTCGTGAAGTTTAACAAGCCTTCTGAAACAAAAGGCTGTCCATACGTTTTACGGGGGCCTTTTAAATGAAATACAATGGTACGAAAGGCAGGTGGTAGTCCGTTTTAAATACCAAGGATCAATTCTCTACATCTCTGAAGAACCTTGTCTAAAACGTTTTAATTCTACAGAGCTAAATGAATTTGTTCTTTACGGTGAACGGATTGCCTTTTCTTTTTTTATCAATGCATACAAGCACAAAAGAATATAAGTAAAAAAACAGTTTCCAAATTAAAAATTCATACAGTTAAGTAATTCATTATATATTGAGACAACAGAAAAATAAAAGTCCCTTCGCGTAACAAAAAAAATGAGGAAGCTAGACTGATCATCTAATAAACAGATGCACAAAAGTATTTTGACCGCAATTATACCCCGGCGTTTTGCTTAAAAGCTGAAAAACTAGACATTTGTTCACTGACTTATGAAAAGACATCACAACATAACAAATATTAAACTCTCATTATGTGGGTAATGCACAGGAAATAGGGCAAAATCTAATTCTACTCAGCGAATAAAAGGAAGCTATTAACTCGATATAACCGACAAGTTTGATGTTTGAGCTAAAATTCAAGCCCCCGCCCTAGACAAAGGGGTTTCGCCTATGAAAGCTGGTTTTCTGACAATTAAATTAAGGCAGGAAATAAGGATTCTGTTAAGTTTAAACTTTTGCACGTGGATTTTAACGGACAAACAACTCATTAAACATTAAATACCCGACCATTTAATTAGCATGGCATTTTCAGCTTTTAGTAAGCTATTGAGAAGGTGTGACGAAGCTGTGTTTTTTGAATCGTGTAAAAGAAATTACGAATGTATACAAAGCATAACAAAACCCTACTGTTTGCTGAAAGAAGCCCGCCGCGTGAAAAACTGCTGGCTCGCGCTTGGATGTACTTCAAACAAAAGTGATTGAACATGTAAAAATATTTACAAGCCTCGAAAAAAATCGGAAGCATAACAGAAAACCGCATTACGCTTTTACTCAAAATAACTTAACCGGATATTGAGATGAAATTACCACAACTTTCCTAAAGACTAATTGACGAGCTTTGTAATAGAAGTATAATCAACATACATAACGGCAGCGAGAACAGCTGTACAAGGTCTCAGAGAAACTGTGTAGGGACTGTCCGTCAAAAGAGCGGTCGACATTTTACTCAATAAATGAATTGACCAGCTAATTTGCATTCCAAAAAAACTTTTTTCCAATATCGACGTTAACAGAAAACTCCCAAAAATACTTCTTTTCACTAGACTAGCGATTTTCATGACGAAGTTCCTTATCTCAAACGAAGGAAATTCGCGTTTTCTATCGTCTTAAAACTATATTTGTTTATCGTTTCGTAAGCCATTAAGCACACATGAATTTGAGATAGACCGATAAATAAATCAAGAAACCTACCAGTTATCGCCAATCATCTTATCTTTTGCGCTTATTACGTTCTTAGAACGCTTTTATTTTCTCTGAGAAATCTTTTTCTAGCAAACAGTAGGCGCGTGTTCGCGTTCTCAAGAAACACGCGCGTGCGCGAATCACTCGCAATCACTTACCGCGTGAAGTTTCCAATAAAGTCCACACGCATTGCAAACAGGGTCTCCGTTTTGGTTGCGTCGCCATAAAGTAGTTTGTGTGGTATGGCAATTAGCGCACGAAGTCCCCGCTCTGCGGGCAGCCGACTATTTGGAAAAAACAGAGAGAGAAAAAAAATTACAACTCAGAAAGAGAGAAACCTCGCAATTCACAAAAAGGGATTGTTTCAAACTACGCCAAACCCGTAATAAGCTTGTTTAAATGCAATTTGTTCTCAGGGGTTTCTTTACTCCATAAATAGCAGTTAAGGGTTCTGTTAAAGGCGATGACAAGCCATGGTTTCTTTGGCTTGAAACAGTGACAACGTCTGCTTTTAAATGCCGAATTTGAATGAAAAGAAACATGGATTTTGTGGTTGGCATAGAATGCCTTTCCTTTTAAAATTTAATCAAATCCCGTGCAGGCAAGAAAGGAAAAAAATATCATTAAAAATTCCTACGCCCTAGAAAAATTTTTAGTAGGAAGAGCAACATTCTGATTCCTCTCCTAGATCGAGCCTTGAAGTTATCAATCAATATTGAAAAGGCTTTGAGAATTTACACACTGTTTCCTTTCAGCGATTGTAAACGCCCCGGGTAAACCGTCAGATTTTTTTTAAAAGCGAAAATTTGCAAAATGATTTCGTACGTCTTAGATTTTCTATAAATGGAGGGAAAAGGAAAATAAAGGAAGCTTAAGGAATGGAAAGCGACTCTTTCAGGAGTCTTACGCCGGGTATAAAACCTAACATATACTCACCAATCTTCTTTTTGGCTTTATTAAAGGTCGACTGGAGCCATTCATTTTATGGTACAATCCACAGGCATTACACAGATAATGCCCACCGCCATCTCTGCGCCATAATGGAGTTGAAGTAGCTCCGCAATTCACACATTCGCGCCCGTCGGCTGGTTGAAAAGACGAACAACCAAAAATCAGTTGACGACCAACGTTCCATGTTCCTTCTATCTTGTTTAATGGCAACCACTCGCGATAAAGAGAAAATTTACCGATAACGAAAACAAACAGGCGCCTGAATTTAATTCGTTTTGCGTGTGAGCCTCTCTTTGTGAGATCGAGCTAGTCGTGTTTCTTGAGGTAAACCGATTCGTGAAAGGTCACACTTAACGAAAACATAAATATTATACAAACGGGTCCTTGCCCACTTTTTGCTTTCTTATTACAAACAGCCTTGCAGTCCCTTGGCTACTAAATCAACTACAGGGAATTCTCCTCTCAGTTAAAGATGAGCCGTAGAAACGTCAGTAAATTAGAGATTCCTTAGTCGAACTTCTATGGTTACCGTTTCAGTATTTCGCGGTGGTTACCATCTTTAACGTCAAATTATTGATAAACAGAACAAATGATTTACCAGTTTACTGTAAGGGGTTTCTGAAAGCAGGAATGCCGCTGCAGTAAGAACCGAGTCTCAAACAGTTAAATGACCGCACGGTAATTAGATTTATTAGGGAAATAATTAAGACTTCCAATCTCCACAGGCGTGAAAGAAATTTTGCGGAAAGAGAAACCTTTGCTCACGCAGCTTTTTTAGAAGAAAACAAAGCTAATCTCGCTGGCAAAGTGGCATTTTGGAGATAATTCGATTTGGCGATTAGTTTTTGTTTGCTCGAGTCTAGATTTCACTAACCTGAATTCGATCGGCTCTTCGTTCTGTTTCTAGGAAAGTTTCTATTCGCCATAAGGCCTGACAAACCCGGGATTGCTCCGAAAGAGGACATATTTAGCTCTGAGCCAACGTAATGTGGGAGAGCCTGAGAAGGATAACCCGCGAACGTTGTCGCATCGGGCCTTGGGGATACAAGCGGCATTCCGGCTTTCAAACGAGCCTTCTTTTCACTACCGTAGCTGAAAATATCGCCTCCAATAACTCCGTTCTCACTTGTATTATCCTTTGGTGGAGTCGGTGGGAAAGGGAACAAGTGCGCTGAGCTGTGAGACAGGGACATGGAACCTGAAACTGCTGAGGGAGGCATCGAAACGGGAACAGGACTCGGTCGATGACCTTGCTGGAAAGACGGACACCAAACTGACGCTGGATTCGGCGTGGAACAACCGTGCGACATGAGACCAGGAGCCGGCTTGCTTTCAATCCACTGTATTGGAGTGTGAAAGTGCGGTCGGCAAACCTGGCCAGACGGTACGCGAGCCGTAGGCAAGAACACTCGACTGCAGCTTTGTGGACCAGATTGGCCTTGAGGGTCTTGAAACGCTGTAGGTCCGTGCGCGGGCATTTGGCAAATTGAAGGACGATAAGCACGGCCGCCAGGAGTGTATGACCAATTTGCAGCGTTTCCTGAGCTGTCGAGGTGGTGAAAGAAGACGTCCACTTCGTCTGGTGGCAAGAGTTGGTTCGTCTCAACCAAATTCATATTGTTCCCTGCACAGTTCGAGGCTGTGGGCTGCATTCTTTCGCTACCGTGTGGGTTTTCGTGTTGTTGGCTAAGAGCCGGGTGAATCCATCTATGTTCAGAGGCTGTACCTTCCATCTTCAAAGTTGCGACTCTAGAAAAACCTTCAAGAGAACAGAGGTGTTGCTCAGAGCAAATAAAACACAAAACTGTCAGAGTAGCATAAATTTAAATGGTTTAATAAGTCCCAAAACAATAACTACAGGAAATAATAGGTAAAAGGAATTTTATTGTCATGCCATTATATTCAATGGGAACTTCGGCTAACAGCGCAAGACGTCAAAACGAGAGCGTGTATCAGCGAACGGAAGTTCCCATTCACAGTTTTACGCGTAAAATGTAGGTTCCGCAATTTTATCTGATGAACACACTCAGAAAAACTGTAGAAGCCATTCAAACAGATATGGAATATCTTCAGGGCCCCTAACACACAAAAGGAGATCTCCCAGGCTGTAGGGAACGAGATGGGGCAGATAAGGCGTTAAAATAAAGTGAGGCATTAGCTTTGTTAGAGTTGAGCCGCGCGCAAACTTCACGGGTACGTGACAAGAGAGAAAAAAATATTCCCGAAATTCACATGAAAAAACGCGCCATCACAGCGCACCTACTGAAAAGAGTGTCCTTGACGCATAGAGGGCCGGTGAAAAACCTTTAAGGTGTTTTGTAAATACCTCACTGTTGAGTCTTATGGGCTAAACCCCGCAATGCACAAGCTGAGATGTGGTGTCTGGTTATATTCAAACAATGTTTGAAAGGTTTTGTAAGCAAACCAGAGCCAGAGTACGCTCCCGCTTGGCTGGCGCCAAGTGGCCTGCTTGTACACACATACGAAATGACAGGTCAACAAGTTGACCAATCAGCGCCGGCCATCGTTGACATTTTGTTTGATTCTCCTTTTCATTCAAAGCTTCATTGGTACACAAATCAAACAATCGATTCTTCTGCTAAGTGATCTGTCAATCACGCGCTTGGGTTCCATGTAAAGTTTTCAAACAGTGAATTAGCGGTAATTTTTTTACGTGAGGTCTGCTAAACATCTAATGCCACGTGACGAATTGAGGCGCGCGAGGATTTTGGCAAGTACTTCCAGAAAACAAGATGCACTTCAAAGATTGTGAAAGTCAAACACGATCTTTGGTTCGCAACTGAACAACTGAAAAATACACAACTCTTCAAAGTCAGATGTAATTTTAGATCAGAGGCCAAAAAGATTTGTTACTTATCAATCTAACATCAACCTCTTTGACTGTATTTGTTATCATTTATATGCTTTTCTTACAAGCGATAAAATAATATCCTATTTGACGAGTAGAAATTAACGGCTTTGCTGATCCGCATTAGCGATGCTCGAGTGGTTTCTCTTGTCGTGGTAAGAATACATCCCGTTGAGTCTGTTTGCCAAGTGTGTTTGATCAAACGGGTCCCTGGGTGCTATTCGATGGCCGCATCCGCCATTACAGAGCGTAGAAAAACAACATGGGTGTTTTGCTTTAGAACTAATTACTAAACGCCGTGTTCCGATTGGCTGTAATGTTAAGTCTATTGTTAAGACAGGTGGAACGTGACCGCAAGATATAGCTGATAACAAAGATAAGCTACTCGCGGACTTTATTGCGTATTCCAGGGCTTGTTATCAGTGTAAATGTTTGCAAACGAAAACCTCTTTACGGATGATTGGGAATAAATTGAACTCTTATTCCACTCTCAGGCACCCGTCTGTCGTGCAGCTCCTTCCTTGTAAAACGCTACCCAGTTATCGTAGATTGATTGTGACCTTTCGCACAAACGGTATGAATAGAATGACAATGTAATTGGCCAGTGTTATCTGAGTCTCAAATTTTCAACAATGTTTCTGATTTGCGTGCGTGGCAGAAGATCCAGCAGACAGCAAGACGCTAGCAAGCAGCCTGTTTAAACGAGATCAAAGATCTCGAAACTTCAAGTATTTCCCCGGCGACCTCCCGAGTGCAGTGGTATGACCGCGCAAAACAGAAAAAAATCCCCAAGTGGACCGCTTTTTTCTATCGTTGATCGAATTCCAGCCGAGTTTGTATCTTGGATAATGAAAATATTTATACTTTTATAATCACAAAGCAGCAGAAATTCGTAAACAAGCAATAAACATAATCGCTATAATCACGCCGATTACCTAGACAGTACAAAGTTTGAACATGGTGATAAGAAACGAATCTATCATGCAATTTACACTCCACTGCGAGAGAGCTCAAAATCCACATGTATACAAACGCGCGTGCAATGATATTGAAAACTATACCAAGTAATATTAGGCCACAATAGGTTCAAGTAGGTACTGGGAAAAAAAGAAAAATACTTGAATGCTGAATCATTAAAAACTTTTTGCGTCCCACCTGCCGGTACAATATGAAACACAATCAAACTATAGACATAGTGTTTACTTAGTGCGGTTGTGGGCATTCCCACGTGCCAAATGAAACGAAGAAGAAATCGACCCCTGCCTTGCTCTGCTTCAGTAAACTCAACTAATCTTTCCCCTTACGTGATGCTCTTAAACATCTCCCTAGAGACTCTATATACCTCTGGTATTTTCACTTTATCAACATTTCAATTATTTTCCATTATAAGTTATAAATTTTTAAATCCAATACATCTTAGGATAACGAGAAATAAAGATAACCCTTTTATGAGAAAGAATAATAGTTTTTGAAAGAAATTAGTATATTTATTTCAACAATAAAGCAAGGTATCTCTAGAAAAAAAATAATCATTCTTGACTGAACAGGCGAAGCGATATCCTGTACAAAATCACGTTACGATTCTACTATAAAAACACCTAGTTGCGAGAGCACAAAAGCATTTGCACCTTCAAAATGAGTAAAGTTACTTAATCGTAATTAAGATCGGAAAATTGAATTACTTATTCGGGCAAAAAGAAATAACTTCTTTCTTAAATAATGTATGTTCAGCAGTGGGCCTCTGCGCGTGCGGTTAGTTCAATTTATCGCAACTTTGGGCGAAGAAAAGAAAAATTTAGTAGCGCAGACAATGTTCCCTCGGCTTTGAAAACAGAGAAAAAAGTGTATTGCATTTCCCAAAACACGTCTGTTTACCTTGTTTGATGGGAGACTGGTTGCACTACTGGGAATCTCACTTCAATGTACCGAGTTCATATCTATAAATTAAGAAGCATAAAACATTTACCAGGAAACGGGGGCTTTCGAAGGCTCTCCGGAAAAGCTCTTCCATAAATTAAGGGACACAGGCTCCCCAAGATGCAGTTGTCGTGGTTAACAGCCTCCACAGACATGGTATATGCTCTAAAATTGACGCCGAGTAATAGCTGCGGGCGCGAGTCAACTTGCTCCAAGGACCGCGGCCTTCACCGGACTCTTGATGTAGTTATGGTAGCGAAAAGCTATATCTATCAGTACACATGCTCTAGACTAAATCCTTAAACACACATGCATCGCTTTGGTGGAGAGATAAAGTCCAAATAGGAAGGGGTTATCAGTGTAATATTCTCTGTTGCCTTTGTGTACGCTAGCGATGAAATCTTTTGTATAATCGCCAACAAGCTTGATTGCGTTTCTATTTCTGAAAACACACAACTGTTTATTACCGATTCGTTCTGTTTTGGAAATTTATCTCTTGGAAATCATAGAGCAGTCAAAGCCACCGCCCACAACAAAGGCAGAAAAAAGGGGCTCAATTTCGGCGTCGCGGGTACGAAATTTCCCAAGACTCATGAACTGCATCAGGGTGATAATTTGAAAACCTTACAAACAGGAAACTCCGTTTAACTTTATCAGATATAGAGGTGTCGTATCTACTGTGCAGAACCTTGTACAGTATCACTAGATCGCTTAAACGATCAATTTTATATCTTGGGGCCGAACTACAGGATTTAAAAGTACTCTCGACAGGGTAGATCGATAAAGCTGGTATCGCGATAAAAACGGATCAAAGCCTCATAAAAGCAGGCCAAGCTGTAGAAAACCCAGGAAAACCATTTCTGTCGACAGATCGGCAGATCTGCACAGAATTTCCATTTGGGAGCGCGCTGTAACTTTTCTTTCCACCAAAACATAATAGAAAACACGGAAAAAACATATCTTTACCTTGACAAAAACAACGACCGTAAAATGATATATTTTCACAGAGGCAAGATAGTTTAAAGCTGTGTGATATATCGTTGGTAAACAAGATGAATATCGAGCCTTCCCGGCAGTTTGGAGTCGACGAACATGTAGGAATTTTTGCCATCTGCAAAAGAGTTCTATTCGAACGCGGTAGGTAACTTATGATTTTATATTTCATCGTTGGAGGGCTTTAGACTGCTATATTTTTTTTAATGAAAAGGAAGGGGTGTACTTTGACAAAACCCAGGAAGCATTTGGGAAGGAAATGAGAAATATGCTGACAATATGAGAAGCGTGTTCCTCTACCACAGGAATCTTTTCAAAAGAAGCTGGAAGAAATGGCGATAAAATCCCGCTTCAAAACGTATTTAGAAACAATCAATTTAAATGTCACAGCGTTTAATGTCACAGGCATCCGTCAGTTGGTGAAAAATATTAAACTGGTGATTAAAAGCCTCCATCAGAATTGCTCATGTTACTTAAACAACTGGACGGGGAGTTGAAATAAGTCAGAGATGAAATCATCTTGCTTGATTTCTTGTTTCGATAATGGTGTTGCGAGACAGCTAACAGATACAAACCAGACTTTGAGCTTGATTCTTTACCACACAAGTGCATCGAGTGTAATCATGATTAGTCTCATCACAACTGCTGAAATCTAAATCAAGGAATAGCATTGAATGATAAAGAGGCTTTGCGTTTTTCCTGAACCGTTTTATCTGGTTAAGCCTTACGTTTAATTCCCGAAATAAGATTGGCAAAAGGCCTGCCGTACCTCCGCCACAGGAAATTCTTCGATCTTTATTTGGGTCTCTTGCAACAATCCAGTTTGAAGAATCGTTCTATCTTTAGCGCAGTTTAATATCGGAGAAAAAATCGATTCCAGTGACTCTTAAGCTAAATGTTTGATGTTGTTAACATAAATCACATTCATTCATGTCTGTGATATCGGGCCAGAATACATATTGAAATTAAAAATAGACTTTCAAGATTGAACAGAACGTGACCTCAATCAATCGCACCAGTTCTTAAGGGCTTTTAGATGAACTTTCACTATCTGACTATTAATATAAAAGAAACGTTAGCTCTACACAGTTACAAATATCTTGCCTTAACTAACAAGTATCGAAATCATGTCCTCTTCGTAAACACTGCTCTTATCTTCAAGGAAAACCAACAAAAGGTTAACCTAACAAAAACTCGAGAACAAAAAGGGATAAATCTAGGTCGAACAAATGACACAAGAAAATTTCCATAACAATGAGCTTTAGCAAACCAAGAGCACTTGTAAAACCGGCAACGCGTTAAACCAAAAGATATTGAACACAGTATATCTTACAAAGAACCAAACTTCAAAACTCAAAATCTTCGAGGCTAAAATAAGATTTTCTGGATTTACTTTCGTTTACCAATGTTTTCGAAATATTTTCTTTAGGGGCAAACTTTTACGCAGGCAAATTATGGCCTTCTTGCAAGCCGGATTCACCTTATCTATAATAAGTAATTTTCGATAATTTACTTGTCCTTAATATTCATCATCTCGAAACGGAAGGTTGAAAATTGGCAAATTGAAAACGATCCACTGTGGGTAACGGAGCGAGAACTTTCTATCAAAAGCTTTCCTTAAGAGTTTTTTGTGATTTAATTATTTGAGCCTAGCTAGGCGCACTTGAAATTGAGCCTCTCTGCATTCTAAACGGCTCTCAAAGAAGGATTACTTTATGACCAAAACGGTCACGAAACGATAATTTAATTTGAGCATAAATGCCTTATTTTTAAGCCGATTCACCTTGCTCAAGCCAAACATAAGAATCTCTTGAACTCTGAAAGGCGAATTACTAGAATGAACAGAAGAAGTTTTCTTTCTGTCATAGAAAAAGGAGCGTTGTAGAACTTAAGTTTGCGATCTCTAGAAGAGAGGTAGCTATAAAATTCCTTGAAATTATGGTAGATAAATTTGGAAACACGATTTAGCCATTAAATCTTAAGTTATAGTTACATTCGCTACAGAACTATCGAAACAGCCCACACTGTACCCTCAACAGTTGTGGCGTGATCGAGGGATAAATTTGTCTAGAAGCAAATCTGAATGGGTTAGAATAATACTTATACAGCAGAAGAGTCAAGTTTTCTTCCATTAGAAAAGTTCTCCCGTGAAAGTAGCAACTTGTAGAACAAAGTTTAGTCAAAATGAGTTGTCGCTTCGTGATCGGTTTTTCTTGTAGTGAATAAACAAAGAAATGGACGCGTGCTCACGTTACCCGAGAAGAATAAATGTTTCTTAAACTAAAGGATCTTTTATCTTGAAAATTTGCTTAAATTTTAGGGGCGAATGACCCGGAACACTCTATATGCTTTTGTGCCTTTGTTCAAAGGCTAAAACAGTTAATATTTGATAAACGTGCTGCATTTGATCTCACGAATGTTTTTAGGACGGTACATTACGCCTCAAACACCCAGCAGGATGGATCTTCTACGAAATGCCTCAGATGGACACGAGCTCGTCCAAAGCATTTTATAAACTGGTCTGTCAAAGTCACGTCCATTTTCTGAAGTAGCCGTGTGAAATAACATTTTGGCTCTAATGGAAAAATTCTTTGGAGGTCTGAGTGGCGACAGAGAGTCGCTTGTCGGTGTCTTTGATTTCTCAACACTGAGATCGACACTTCAACTGCTGCTGAGCAAAACGTTAGGCCAAGGTTCTGCACCCACCCTGGCGTTTATTTACCCAGCGCGAGTACTCTACCCCAAAACCAAATTCTCAGCAATTTGCTACAAATGTAGCGGAGACTGGACAAAATTTTCTCCGATTGAGATAAAAAGGATGGTGGTTTGCAGCCGGAAATGCCATTGAACTGTCGATATGAGTAGCCACGTTCCTCTCGAATGCCCGCCTGAACTAAACCTCACGTCACTTCATGAGCCTCGCTCTAACTTATCAATCACTCTATCTAAAATCGATAATTGCATAATTATCACGTTTTGGATCTACCTTCGATACTGACTGATGTGAATATGTACCTACCATAGATTGTATCGACTCTCTAACTTTTGGAAGGAACGGTTGGAAAACAAACGCTGAAACATTCACGACGCATGTTAAAGTTTAGTTGTTGTCGTTTACTCTTCCTTGAATCGCTTCGCACCTTTTAATACCATCACCACATGGTGTAAAATGCACTTGTGTGCAGCCCAGAATTTATTTCCCACTGATGCTCTAAATAATTCATTTTATGTCGTCTGTTCTGATTTCCCACCCTTTTCGTGAAAAAACTCAATAATCCGGCGATTCAATGGTAACGACTGTTTATTCAAAGGAAGCCTTGGATAAATATTTCTCGATATTTGAACAAACCTTCACTGATAGGATTGTTAGAAGTGTGAACATTTCCCACCCCCTTCATTGGCGAAAAGTTACGAAAGAAAAACTTTGGCACGTTCTTTGATACTAGTATTCATCTCGTTCTTAGAAATCTGTTCAAGCATTAATTTTTTATGATAGTGACCATTCGGCCTCAATTTACTTTTAATTGAATCTTCGTAAACGCATTTTGGGTATTTTTTATGAAGATGGAACATTCACTGTCACTTCGGTGCTCGTCTTTGGTCAATTTCTTGTTACAGTGTACTTGTATAATGGCTTTGCGACGGAAGGAAGGCCGCGTATCAATAGCAAAACATAATAGCGGTCCATAACAACAACCTAAGTAACTTGTAGCAAGCGGTAACAGATAATTGCTCAATCGAAACACAGAAACACCCCGGTTCTAAGTTTAGTACAACGAGTCCAATATCGGAAGGCACTAATGTCCTTGGTTCTCAACAGACTTGCGAAAGCCTCAAGCAATTAGCCAAGCGGTTTTGCCAATATGACAGTGTAGCATCTGCGGCCAGAACCGAGGGCAAAAAAGCTGCCTAATGAAAAATAGAAGTAATTTTATAATGGAACAGCTTTTGTCCCGCGCGTGCTAATCTGTGCATAAGTGATGAACCAAGCCATCAGATTCTCACACACTTCTAATGGTTTGATAATAGGCTTTTTCTTAGTTTTGTATTGTACCAGCTGCCTCTGTCTCTCGGAAATTTAGCACTTGAATATAATATATTTTCTTCTCGCTGACATAACGTCGCACTGAAAACGTTGTAGTGGAAGATTCGCAGCTTTCACATGGCACTACAAACTACATAAGCTCGCTATCTTTTCGAGTTTGCAAAATCAACTGAAGAACGGAACTGCGATATTGGATTATCGACAGTACTTAGCGATAAGGAGGGCGCGTTTTATTAATATACTGCGAGAGTGATGTGTAGGTATTTACTCGAAATCAGTTTGTTATTTTCGCTGAGCGAAGCTTGCAGTCTTATCGAGATAAACTCATCAACCTCCCGGTGCGATCGTGCAGATACAGCAATTTTCATTGATCTGTATGATTAAACGGAGTCAAAATCTATCTTTTGGCACAACAGGGAGCTTGTTCTACTAAATTAGCCTATACACAGAGTGACTGAGAGAGTTACTACAGCCGCGCTCCAGAGACCTCTTGCACCTTCAAGTTTAAGAAATCGCTCAACTGAAGCAAACCACCAAAAAAATACAGATCTCCAACAAACTAACGAACGACGAACAAAGGTAATCGGATTACCTTAACGCAAGTAAAAACAAAAGCTACTCACCTCGCTGGTGATTTATTTGTTCAACGAGCTCCGTCGCTACACTGACTTTTTCAGCTCAGAAAGGTACACTTTGAAAGTCCGGGCTAGAGTTACATTCTATTTATATGACTTCTGCGCTTGGGCGCCAATTGGGCGCCAAGTGAACCGGTCTAATTCACTGCTTTGTCTATCGTACACATGCTTTGCAACGCCGACTTCTAAGCACGCAAGATGTAGCTGAAATCTCCACAAAATCTCCCGACTTCTTCCCCGTATTACCTGCGAATAATCCGAAGCAGTGATGCGAGTTTACTCCGATACCTCACAAGTCGAATCGACTACTCAAGTGTGACGTACTTTGCACGAATCCGTTGCCGCGCGAAGCGCTGGCGCCGAGATTGTGTATTACGCTGTAAACGGTTTGATTGAATCCATTCGTTAGGCAAGGAACTTCGAAACGCCGCAAGATGGCTTCTTGAAAGCGCGGGCTTTCATATTCACCAGCTCTGTGCAAAATCGGAGAGAACCGCAGCGAACGAAGTGATAAATTTCACACTTGAATCGCAGTTAACGTTACCTGTCCCGGAATGCCCCGATTACCAACGGAAATCAAAATTGTTCCCGTTGACATTCCCTGAGGGTGGGTAAGTGAGACATGCAACTAGAGGAAACCCAAAATTTAGCGTCAAATACCAAAAAAACCTGAGGCCCATTAATTTTGGTTTAACCAAGAGTTGACAGACTTCAGTTTTTTGGATATTGATCCGGTGAACGACCTGTGATGTAAGCATTAAATATTTCTGTTCAAATCGATCTCTTAATACGTTACTATTCAATAGGGCATTTTTCGTTAGTTCACCTGAAAAAACAGAAAACAAGATCTTGTTTTTTTTTAAACCATCATCTACATACCAAAACACATCCAATGTGGCCCAAATTTGATTGAAAAATGCTGTTGAAATTTAATTACAAGACACAAGAACTCTGTTTTTAGTAATAATTGAGAGCTAAACCCGCAAACAAGACGTTTTTAAACAAGGAAGACGACTAAAACGCAAAAATCGTTTGCCAGTCCCACAATTTTTCAACACAACTTGTGATTTATTTGCTTAGATCTTCCCAACCATTAATGGAAGTAAGTCAAACTCAAACAGAGGTTTTGGTAAGTGACATTTTTTGACCAGAATAAAATGATGGCATTACTAATTATAAATGCATTGTCACTTTTTGAGCAAATCCTTCTGTCCATCTGGCTCTGCAAGAGCCACAAATCCTGTTTAGGTATACAAATTCGCCCACCTACGGTAACTAAATAAAAAAATGCCTCCATAAAACTGAGAACAATGACAAATTAATGAGCCTTTACGGAGTTTGTAAACACTGTATTCTGACACATACACACAAAATAAATCTACAAAGACCATACTTTAGACATCTGGATGGCCAAACTACCAAAACGCCATTACCCAGTGAGCATTTATTTTAATTTCCTCGCCGGCTCTCTTCATTTTCCACACAAACGTTGCGCTCGTAACGAGATCCTTTCATTTTGACATTGATATGTTATATATTAGGAATTGTTTAAATTTCTGCCTCTTCTCCCAAGACTGGTGACGCCTAAGGTTATTTGGCGAATTCATACTTCAGCCTTGTTGTTACTTTACATTCAGAAGGCGGGGTTTGTGTGCAACTGGAAAGTTCTAATTGAAATCCGCGTTCCTGTCAAAGGGCATGTTTCCAGATTTTTTCCTGAAGTTTGCAAAACTGTTACATTTCAGAACAGGAACCTCATCCTTACCATTCGTCGTATGAGATGATCGGTTAAATCAGTGATATTTATCTTTTCAGAGCTAGGAGATCACTCTCTGTAAAGCGAAATCGAGGTTAGCTTGACTCTTTGAGTTGCTCTTACTGACCCTTCTTATTCACTCAGGACAGATCCTTCATCTGCTATATTTTGAAACAAAGACAATCAAGCCAAGGCAATATATTGCAGACTTTTATCCTGCGAAACACGCAAACAGCCGTTCGAAAAAGTACAACTCCAAAATATTCTAAGCGACCCGATGTAATCATTTTCACATTGATAACTCTTAGCTTATATAAATTATTAAATCATGATATCTTTGAGAGGTTTTCCCGGGATGCATATTACACTGGATATATTTTGCATCACTGTAGAAGTCTGTATACTGGACGTCGATTGTCCTCGGAAATGTTTCGCAACTCGCAACAGTAAACATTTGTTGCCGCATTTGCGGGAAGATTAACATAGGAAGGATTTAATGCTTGGCCACGCATTTCCTTAAAGCCTTTTAAACCATATAAAATGTAGTTTCCGCCCTAAATACCCTGTCCTACCCAACTACCTCAAAACTCTTCAAGCGCCTAAAAATTTCGTATTTTGGAGTCATTACTCTTAAAATAACAAGCTTCATCTTATAAAGCACCTTAGCGGGTTTATCTAAGATTTCCGAGGCAGATATTAAGGCTTACGTTTCATAACAGGAATCTAGAATCTCACCTCAGGAAAGATTAGAAGCTTTTGTGAATAATTTGGTTTATCTCATTCAGATGTGAAAGCCCGACTTCTCCGGGTATACAGAATTCAAGTGTTTGCGTTTAAGTTTAATAGTGTGAGAGGTGTCAAAAAATTTGATTTGTGGAAAAAAAGCCGAAAGGTCATTCAAACTGAAACGAAAAATCCAAAACAAAGACCCTTGGTGCAAATTTTTCTGACAAGGAACATTTCAAAATAAAAGAAATCTTTCGATCAAACGACTGAAAAGTTGAGAAATTCACTCACCGTTTTCAGGAGAAGTCAAAAAAGAGCGAGAGATCGAAAGAATCAACTTGCGTCTGTGTTCTGAAATTTTCCCCACAATGACTCAGTATTAAAAAAAAGGAGATGCGATTAACTGAGGAAATTGAAACATTCGTCGTATATTTATAAAACATATCAACCACATAATATAATAGGACTGTTTTACTATGCATAGACTGAGAACCAATCTCTTTCGCATTACATTCTGGCGCGAGCCACCAACCCACGTGACCACATGAAAGCTTCGAGGGCAGATGGGTTGCATCAGGCGGGCTCGAATTTGAATCTGGCTTTTCTTTTCAAAGAAAAATAAAGACTTGATTTAAAATTGATGGATTAAAAGATTTCTCCAGTAATTCATTTCTACATATCGCGCCGCTAAATGAAATGGTTTTGCAGGGATTAATTTCTACGTTGAGTGCCAATCGGAATAGGGTTTGCGTGTCGGCAACATTTTGCGTGCTCGAGCTACGAGTGGGTTTTTCAGCTCTTGCTGAGGTGCGTTCAGTGTCAGATTTCATATTAAGCTATGTACGACCTTTGTTAAGCGTACGCCCTTCTTAGCAACAAATCTATCCGTATTTTAAATTGTTCCCAAAATAATCCTGCGCTTAAAAAATTCTTCTCGATTTGTCATTTTTTGTCACATCTATAATTTGTCATAATATAATCCTTTTCCTGTTCATCGTTCAAAAACGGCAGAAAAGTGTGACATTTTAAAACTGGTGTTAGCTAACGGGGATATAAAGATATTTTCACCACTTTTTTATCGACAGGATTGCGAATAACTCGGGCGATATTTCAGTGTTTTGCTTTCAACTCAAGTGCGTTGTATGCGTGGCTATTTAATACAGGATTTATTCCTGCCCAAACCAAATCCGCACTGATGATCTTGAAGTCAGCTACTCAGCGAACCTCTAATTTCTTAAATTCAATAGGCTGAATGTTCCTTAATTCCTTTCATTACACAGGATCAGAGTCTTTAAAAAATACATATCTTAATGGACAAGAGGAAAACAGTAAACCATATCTAATGAAGTCGATATGTTTGCTTGTTATAAATCTATGAATGTGAAAAAAAGTCAGACAAGTTTGAAGTTAAGGACGTGCCAACTAGAATGTTTCATCGAACTCCCAGGAAATTCCAGTCTTGTACAACAAATTAGTCAAAGTTATGAACACAAGAGTTTTAATTTCATAAAAATGGATTAAAACTCCTCGTAATATCCTGTTTTAGCACTCCTACGATCGACATTATGTCTCCTCTACCGAAGTTAGCTTAAACACAAATTCCAATCATTGGGTTGGAAATGTTCTTTGAATTGTCCAAAACACTCCGTGTCAAGTCCAGCCTATACTAAGGTGTAAACGCGGAGAATTTAACTGAGAAGGCACGTTTTAAAAAGAACACAAGGCGACGACCAGGGGCTTGCAAAAATGGAAGAACCAACTCTAGTGAGTTGACAGGCCTACTTAAAAAACCAACGGGGTAGCGCGTTTTTTGTCGAATTTAAATAACACTTTAAGAGGATCAGCTATGATATATAAAACCTCGAAATGTAATCCGCTGCCTGGTTCAATCTGATCAAAGTATATAAAACATGAAAAGGGTTAACAAGTGAGGTTTAATTGAGAGATAAAGACTGCTTTTACATACAGGTTTGTCAAGGGCTTTTCTCTTACATCACGATATGGACTGTCAGGTTTTCGATCAATATTATGCTCATTTTAGATAAAGTCTTGTTATAGAGGATGCCATTTATATTTCACTGTTGTAGGAAAAAATCGTAAATAATGGTTTTGCGTAAATTTAACCTTAAGAAGTAAGATACAAGTAAATATTAGGATGAGTTTCTGAAAAACGAGAAGCCCTGAGTCAGCAGAAATATCTTTGGCTGGAAGACCTTGAAGTTCGAAATGATCATGACTGTGGTCAAACATGAAAATTTTAACTGCCTGATTAGACATGTAGATATTTTGGTTTACAGTCCTATATCAGACATATCATTTTCTTCTCTAAAATCGTGTCTTCTTTATCGATAAGGCCCATAATGTTAAGCTCGTAAGAACGCCACAGACGCAAATAAAAATATGTTCACGTTAAGAAAATGTAAGAATCGGCTCTCTTGGTGTAATCTTGGTCTTTAGGTCGACAGATTTATGTTTCTCTATCTGAAGTTTTAATTTAAAAGTAACATCTATGAAAGTGAACGACCTGGCAACATTTATTTGATCACGATAATTTTAACACTTATGAGGAAAAGAAAATAATATAAAGTTGAAAAATCCCACCTTTTTACCACCCGTTCGTCAGTGGAATTAATTTCTGTTGTTTAAATCAGGAGACGATAAGAGATATTGATGTCCAACTTGCTCTAGAAGTCTGGCTTCTGGTTTGAAGGGCAAAAGCGATTTTGGTCAAGGGACGTTTTTCATTTTTTTATAATCCAGTTGAACTTTTCAGTTATGCTAATAATCACATCATATCAGCACTCTTTCGGATCATCCTTAATTTGTTTATTTCAAAATCGGGGCGCGGCGATTTGAATTTTCAAATCCAGGAATATGACCACACTTAAAACCCACTTAGGAAGAAGCTTAGTTTTGGCGATTTTTTCCTCATAAAACGCATTAATTTCTAATAAGGAAAAAAAATGAGTTGAATACAAAAGCATTAGTGCAAAGAATAGCCGGACAAAGTGTGGTGATTTGAGTTGAATACGATTTTCATTTTCAATATTGATCATTGCACAACGTTTTAGTCTGTCAACAGCAGAGGCGATCCCATTGTACCTCTGATAAGGATCAAGGTATACATATTTCATAGAGGAAACGCATTTCAAAACGCTGCCATGACTTAGATTTCTCGATGAGATACGTTGTGTTTTGGCTTGTACGGCGCACTTTGCATACATAACACTACCGCTGCGTACCGATTTCCGGAGTCACTAGTTCCATATGAGCTACAATCGAGCTCCGCGTATGAAAGCTCTTTGCTATCTATTGATCTTTTATCTGCTTTCCTTAAAGTTTTCATCTCGAGAGGAGATGAGCACTGAGAAATCTAATATCGGGTTTGTTTCCTGTTTTCTTAACTTTTCCTCTTAATCCGATGTTGGGAACTAAACCATTCAAGCGTTATTCTTTGTTTGAAAAACTTATTAAAGTCGAAACTTACTTTTTTGCAACTGGTCGAGTCGAAAAATATCTTAATTTCCGACTAAAACGGCATATTTAATAATGAAAAAAAAAATGATAATAACAAAATAATCACTTCCTTAAAAACGTTTTTAAAAATAAAAATGTCCTCGCTTGTCAACGGCAGCAATCTTATCAGTTTCACTCTAACTTTCGACATTAAAAATATTGAAAGCAAACTTACGTCCGCTTCTTCTGAACCAAACTTTAATCTTTCTTATTTTTCCCAAAGCCATTCAAATTCAAGCTCGTATTTTTTTCGTACAGAAAAATACCATTTAGATAAATTGCTTGTAATGTTGATTTACGTTAGTTTTCTGTATTGGGAAAAAAATCACCATCACTGTTTACATCTCTGCCGAACCCTTGATCAGTGTGATATATCTCACTTTAAGTGTCTTCACCGACACATCTTCTCTCACAATCTATCGCCCATTCAAAGATATCATGAATTATATCACTCTCTGAAATGATTCCTTTGATCAAGAAAGCACTCAGTTTAATTCGAAGTATACATACGTGATAGCTTCTCTGCTTCGAAACCGGCTTCAATGGGATATGCGTCACTAAAGTTACGTGGTAAGCCACGCATGAGCGTCAATGCACACACACGAACATGAAACATTAACGAAGCATGTTGGCACTTTTCTCTTATCAAAATCACTTTTTTTCTACTTAACTTTCCATCGACTTCGTTCTGGTCCGTCAATAATTTAAGCAAGAACAGGCTAAATGTAAGACACCCGCATGCCCTAACAGAAATTTCAAACGATTACATCTATTTAGGTCAGAAGGGGGCCAGCTTCTGGTGAATCTCCCATAGACGTCAATTTAACCACCTTTTCCTCCTCAGTTCCAATGCTTACAAAGCCCAATAGCTCATTTTTTCAATTATTGAAAAACAACGCCACAGCAAAGTAGTGTTTAAAAGCTATTTTGGGAGCTATTTTGGGAGTTGTTAGTAAAAATTACAAATTAACCGAAAGGTGGAGCAAAATCATAACAAAACTGAGCAATTTTTATAGAGCAAACCTTTTCACTGAAGAAGAAAATGAATTCCTGAATCTGTTTGCATATCATATGGAAAAAGAAAAAAGCATTATGAACAAGAACTGCTGAAGAGGTTTCGTTTTAATGGTCACTCTATAGGACTTCAAATCTACAAACTCAAAAGTTTGGACTACAAACAAAACCATGTGAAAGTACTACTGAGGACGTTTCCCTTATAAATGGCCACAACATCAGATTCATCCACAGACTTTAAAGTGAGAACTACATACTAAATAAATAGTACGATTTGAAAGTTTTGCTGAAGAGGTTCCATTTGAATAGTCACACCATGGGCTTTCATCCTCAGACTCAAAAGTAAGAAATCCGCAGACATCAAATCGGATCTTGTGAAAGTACTGCTGAAGAGGATTTATTTGAATGGTGATACTATGGGACTTTTACTAATCTACGAACTCAAAAGTGGGAACCATATACAAAGCAAATATTACCAGGTGAAAGCACTGCTACCTACGAACAAAGTACTACCAAGTACGAGCAAACCAGATGGTACCATGTGAAAGTACTGCTGAAGAGGTTTCATTTGAATGCTCATACCATAGGATTTCATCTACAGACTCAAAAGTTAAAACCACGAACAAACCAGATGGAACCATATGAAAGTACTGCTGAAGAGGTTTCAATTCAATCGTCACACCATACAGTTTTTTTTATCCAGAAACGGAGAAGTTATTATCCATTTATAGTGGATCGTCGGTATAACGAACTCAAGGGCCAAGGCTGGTGGGGGGGTACTACAAGCAGATTAGGATTGGGGGCTTACTTTTTGCTGAGTAGGTGCTGCTGGCGTCTCAGAGCCCCTACCCCATTATAGTCTATTCTGTGGCCAATTATAGTCACTCTTGGGCAAATATGTAATTTTCGCAATCCTAACTTAGTAACTTTCTATTTATGTATCAACCCTATATTGAATGAAGAACAATTTACTTTTCGCCTACAATACAAACATTCTGGTACGTTTGCTAAACGTAAATATGAAGAACTGTCTTATCCCAAAAATCAGAAAATGTGCGGTCCCATTCAAGTAACTCTTTGAAAATGCGACCCCATTATAGTCAATCCAGTCGTGAATCCAGCATTCAGCGGCACATCCCCATTAGCCTCTTATAAGGAAGTACTCCCCACGCCAGGCCGAGAAACTGACAAAATAAGTTGAGCTATGTAACGAGGTTTTGTTTTGTCGAGGCTCTTTTTCATATTCCTTACTTAAAACTGAGGCGAGGAATGTCATTCGTTATACCAAGGACTTTGTCATTTTTATATAGTGTTTGGTTGTTTCAAAGTTTTACTCTACATAATGAAAGTACTAAGTTGATCACCACGGTGGTCGCACTGAAGGATTTTGTTCACAGACATTTTTTATTAAAGCAGCAGACTTTAGCTTTAAACGACAATAGTTTCAGAAACCTCAAAGAGCTATGTCGCCAATTTTGAAAGCATCACCTTTTGTCAAAGGAAACCCTAAATTATATATCAAATGAAAAGAAACTATTAAGTACTCAGCATGTATGAGAACAGTGGGCCGACAATAAATTTCGTATACGTTGAAAATTTTAAGGTGAATTTTCCCCATCTGTCCCTTTGTACCTTAGAAAAAAAATACACGAAGAATGAGGTGTGGCCTCGATACAGCAAACTGCTATAAAGGGAACGGAAATATCCGTTTGCTTATATATAGGGGTTCTGGGCCATAAATATTTGATCCTTTGATATAAAGGAAAAATATCGGCTGATTGAATTGGCGTATCGCTTGGATGGAGTTACGGGGGTTCGTTGAGTCAGGTTGATGCTCAGAGACAAGTTTGTGAATGACCAAACGTGTGCCATAGTCCATCTAACTGAATTGAAATCTTTCCTTCACTAAGTTACGGCAACGCTATTTCTCACACGAAGTTTTAAATCTGTGGTTGAAATCCTTTGGTGTTAACCATTAAAATGAAACCTCTTCAGCGGTACTTTCACATGGTGCTATTTGTTTAGTATGTAGTTCTAACTTTTGAGTTAGTGGATGAAATTCTATGGTTTTACCATTCAAATAAAACCTCTTCAGCGGTGCTTTCACATGGTACTATTTATTTAGTATGTATCTTTGGAGCCAGTGCTTGAAATCCAATGGTGTTACCATTCAATTGAAACCTCTTCAGTAGTACTTTCACGTGGTACTATTTGTTAAGTATGTGGTTCTAACTTTTGAGTCTGTGGATGAAATACTATGATGTTACCATTCAAATGAAACCTCTTCAGTAGTACTTTTACGTGGTACTCTTTATTTAGTGTGTAGCTCTAACTTTTGAGTCTGTTGATGAAATCCTATGGTGTGACCTTTCAAATGAGACCTCTTCAGCAGTACTTTCACACGGTACTATTTATTTGGTATGTAGTTCTAACTTTTGAGTCTGTGGATGAAATCCAACGGTGTTACCATTCAAATGAATCCTCTTTGGCAGACCTTTTGTATAGAAATATTTATTTGTTAGGATGTTAAAAAGAAATTCTTTTTTTGTGAGGTTTTTTTGTTTGTTTCTTTTAGAAACATTTAGATTCATTTTCGTTTTAACTCACTACTTAGATATATTTAGTCACCATACTATTTAGATCCGTCACCAAATACACTATTGTTGCTTTTACTTCTGTTTTTTCTTTACTCGTAGAAGCAAACCTTAATAAATCAATGCATGATGCATTCAATGGTATAACCACAGTGGTTAGTCACAGAAGGCCCCTAAATGCGAGAAAAACCATAAAATGTGACCCTTCAATCAAATACTATAAAACAGAAATAAGTAACAATAAAATAGATTTAATCAAGCAGTGCCTTCCTGTGGTGCTGTTTATTATATTGCGACTGACGAAAGGTGGCTCATAACTTAGAATTTGTGGATGAAATCATTTTACAATTTAAGCTATTGAGAAGTACTTTCGTCTTTGCTGTAAACGAAGAAATTTTCCTCCAAACTGTACAGCGTGGCTCTAACTTTTGGGTCTGTGGATTAAACCGTAAACTGTGACCATTAAGGTCAAAGGCAACGAGAAGCACTTTCCTGTGCTGCTGTTTAACATGCCGTACAAGGTGGTTCTGACTTTCAGGTCTGTGGATAAATTCCTAACGTGTAACCATTCAAATGAATTCGACATGAGCAGTACTTTCCTGTGATATCAGGTTTATTAAGCTGTACAAGTTGCTACTTACTAAAAGCTAAGAACTTCCATTTAAACGAGAAGTAGGTTATTTTTTTTAGTGTTTTTTTATTATTTTTGACGTCTAACATCTGTTTTCAGTTTCTCACAGGTTATATGAAAAATTTATTTTCTAAAGAGGAATAAAAGCCATCACCATTAACTCCAAAAAACCCTCACAACACTGTTGTTTGTAAAGTTGAAATGTCTGCAGGGCATCATCTTGTAAAAAGAACACTAAATCAGCCTTGCCAGTATGTAAGATTAGCAAAATATTGACCAGTGCTATTTAGGGAAGCAAATTAGGATTGGATGAACTGAAGGACAATATTTTTAGAAAACAACCTGGAAACGAGAGTTTTATCTTTTCAATTTATATTTATTCATTTTAAATATGCCTTTTTCCTTCTTCTGTTTTTCGAATTCAGTTATAGAGGTATGCTGACATTGTAAACCAGAACTAAAATAACATCCATTTGCTACGGTTTCACAGAAGATAAGCTTAAATAATAGGGGCTCTTTTTTGAGCATTTTCCCTGGGGTCTTAAACAAGTTTTTCTTGAAAATGTCTTGGCGACAAGGAATGCTTCTAACATATCCTTACACGATGTAAAACTGAAATAATTTAAAACAAACGAGGAAGACACACGGATGACACAACTAACAAAAGAGGTGGAGCTAGATTTTAGACTCGAGCGTGTCTATAACCTTCCTTTTCAGTTATGTCCCTTATTTAAAGGTAAAGTATTTCAAATTTTAATGACGCTTCGAGCTTGTCAATAAGTATGACAAAGATTATTTTTGATTGTTTTCAAATCTTTTTTTCCCACGCTATCAGCAGAAAGGTTGTTTAGATAGTGGAAAGTAGTTCTCAAAGTCATTGACCCTTTTGTACAAGAGCAAAAACTTGTTTGATAAGCCGAAACCAAACTTGGCCCTCTCGGGCTCTGCCGGTCAAAACAAAAGCCCACTCCTTAAAGAATGTGATATTGGAGGCAGCCATAACACACTGCATGTATGTTGTTCCTCTCGGGGAGAATCTCTGGCTAAGTCCTTGTTCAAAAACGCACAGAATAAACAGGTCGCGTCGTATCTATAACACCTGGAGATTTAAAAGCTCAAGAGCAAGCCTTCTACAGTGCAAAAAGTTTCAACAGCAGAAAGTTCTAGAATCGTCTACTGGGAAATGATCACTTGAAAGGATCAAGTGTTTAAGTCTAAGTTACGATCTACAGTCGAGATAGAACAAAGACAATTGCCAAGCCACACCCAAGCTTACTGGTTTCTCACGGAACTACGGTGGCCAACAGACGGTACCATGACAACTTTTTTCTCATGAAAGATCTTTCCACTTCATGTCGTTAACATTTTTCACTTGAAAAAACTTTTTATCTCGTGACAAATCTCTCTGTCGAGACAAAACGTTTTTGCTGATGACAAAACTTTTTATTTCTCGTGACGAAACTACTTTTTTGGCGAGAGACTGAACTTTGTGAACTGTTGGGAACGCACAGGCAGCTGCGCGCACAAACACATAAAGTTCAAGTTAGGGATTACCCTCCAGCCCCTCCCTTAGTAATTCCTAAGTGCCCAGTTTATTGGCTTAATTTGCAACATGATTATCAGTGCCATTTATAGAAGGAAAATTTAACTGGTACATAAATGCCTTCGGGCTTTAACTATAACGCGACCAATTTAAGACGCGTCTTATATCCTCGTGTAAATGGTAAAGTATGCGACTTATTTAAAACGAGTCTCTTAAAAGACCCGTTTTGTTTGTCCTCTTTTTAATGGCTTTTCTGTTTGTCTTTTAGAACTCTGACTGTTTAAAATTTTTTCGGTTGATTCTCGACAATTCAGGTTGATGATGTTTATATTTTGTCTTGTCCATCTGCATCTCTTCACGTAACATGAAATTCTATATTGAACAACACTAAGTAAAGGTTACTTTGAACGTGCTCACAGGAAAGAAAGCTCTTCCCCAACATCTGACACGCCTAGGTCAATGTTAAGAGAACCAGTATGCGGTTACCTCGAGTTACGTCACAAGATACAGGAAATACGTGGAAAATATTTGAGATCTCATGCGCGTAAAAATTTGAATTATTTCTTTTCTTCTTTTTTTTTCTGCGGTGTCATGCTTAATTTGGAAAGGAAGGCGTATAGAAGTTGGAATAATTAGATAATAAAGGATCAGATATCAGACTTTTATAACCTCTTTGTCTACGGTACTACATTATCTTGCTACAACTTAGCCTTGTGCTTTGACGAGAGCATTAATTTTCTAAGGGACAGATAAGATCTGTTAAGTGGAGAATGTTCGCTTACAAAGATTTGACGATTGTTTATTTTGCAAGATAAGAAAAATAAATATTTAAAGTTTACGTTGAAATCAATCTTAACATAGCCCTTCGACCCGACATGTCTTCGGGTCTTTCCATGATATGGTTTGCGAACAAAAGCCAAATGATTTTTTTTTTGCTTGTTCGTTTGTTTGGGGCTGAGATAGTACCTTAAGGTGTTTACTCGATCAAACGCCGCCCTCAATTAAGCGCCGCAGTAGCCAAACAACGAGACCCTCGATTTAACGAAAATAACGTGAAAATCGTTACAACCATGTTAATGGGCCCCAAGTACAACTTGGCTATTTAGACAATCCAGAGATTTACGATTCTACCTCAGCAAAATAAGAGAGACATCTATGGAACTTTATAAAAACATCTTTCTGTTTGACATACCATTTACAAATGATTTACGGTCAGTAAGTTAAGAAATGTGATTTTTAAATAAACACCTCCCTTGAATAAACGCCGCATCAACTAGCAGAACCTCCGTTGTTCCACATTTGTTTCTTTGTTT